TTAATAAAGTAGTTATTTATCTTTAAACTAATCCTATCTTTCAATCTTTATAACTATTTAATATGGTGTTTTATCTTAAAATAAATATGAAGTAATTTATTTAATAAGAGCACTTAAAAAAAGGCAATTATTACATTATTTAAAAAATTTAAAATGTCTTATATTTTTAAAAGAGGGAGTATATTTTAATTATAAAAATTTAAATCCTATTATATAATAATATTAATAATGTAACTATTGTTTCAGCTTTGAATTCAACATTTAGGGGTATATTTGACAAGTGAATTATCTAATAAATAATAAATGCATGCAAATGTAAAATTGAAATCCAAAAGCTGCTCCCATTTGCTTCATCCATTAATCGGTTTTAGTTAACATAATTGATTATGAAAAAGATGGGCTGTTTGGTAAATTCTTCACTAATCGATTTTTTTTGCCCAAAATCGATTAAAACTTCAATTCAAACAGGCAAGATATCTTCTACAAGGTTTATTTAATTCAAATATAAGTCATTTAATAATATTTCTATTACTTTGTTTTGAAAAATAATACATTAAAATTTTAATTATCATTATCAAAGCACTTATATAGAGTATTTAATAAGAGTAAAATTTAAAAGAGAGATATATATATATATATATATTTAAAAAAATTAATGTTTCAACTAATATTTTTTAAAATCATGAATTAATTATTAATATTCTATATTTTGATCTGGATGGGGTGTTTCTTTTTTGATTTTTTTGTTGTTGTCTCTAGGTATTATTTTAGTGCAATGATGAAGCTGGATGCACATACACCCACCGATTTAGAGAAAATTATACGAAAGTGAAATGAATTTTTGTATTTTGTACCTCTATAAATTTTGGATCATTTTCAATATACATTTTAACTAATTCAATAATGCTTGATATTTAATTTGAAAACTTTAAATGTTGATGTGCACAACAATATTTAATTTAAATGACGTATTTATCTGTTAGTCTATTTTTTTAAGTTATCAATAATTTTACATATTATGATTGCAAATAGTAAAAAAAAATTGTTCCAAAGATAATAAAAAGAAGGCGGCACCATTATAATAATAATTTAGTATGGTTATATTAAAAAAAACACTTTTAATAACTTGACAGTAAATTTATGGGTAAAAAAAGTAAATTGATTCTTAAACTAAGGTTTAACTTTTTTTTTAAGAATAATTGTCAGCATTTACTATCCGACCGTGCAATAAAAAGCAATTGTTATTTTTTTGCAAGACTTTTTATTTTAAATTGTTATTATAACAATAATTTTAGAACGTTAGTAGTCACATTAAACGTGTTTGATTTTTGTCACCCAAATAAAAAAGGTAAGTATAACCAAAAAAAAATACTGTAAAAAAATGTTGAAAGAAAAACAATTGAATTTCCCCACAATACAATAATTTATTGTATTTCATTATATATAAGATTTTCACGACTCAGAGAACACAACTTTGGCGTGTAGGGAATTGACTTGGTGAGTCACAGATATTAATGTAAAGATATAGATTACTTCTATATTTCAAAAAAAAAAAATCATTGGTTGCTAATATAATGTACATGAATGGTCAATTATTATCATTTTTCAATTTTACTAATTTTATAAATTTAATTTAATGATTCAACATATATCGTATCTCTCTTTCTATTTTTTATAGGGGTTGAGTTGATAATTTTTTTTTTTAAGACATATTTAATAAGTTAACTGTCATTATTTGACTCTGATAAAGTAATTAAAAGTATCTTATAATATAGATCAAATGAAATATATAATTATAAGTAGCTTAAGATTTCTCAACCTTCACGCGTGAAAACACAAGAACAAGAAGAAAAACACTTAGTTAGTGGGCAGCATTCTAGGTTGGTTCCGCCTATGATTAATACTACTGCAATAGAAACCAGAGTCTTTTTAAGCCTAAGCATCAAAATATAATCTCTGCCCAACGCCCTAACCCAAGAAAGATGGATATATAATAAAAGAGAAAAGAAAAAAGAAAAAGAAATTCCACTAGCTAGGCAGGACTCGTCATGACCTAACTGGCTTAGCACAAAAATTGCTAATCATCCAAGCAAAGCTGAAGTAAAGGCAAGAAAGCAAGTGTCTCCTGAGGCTAAATATGGGGTTTGAGTAGGAGAGAAAGGACCGAGCCAAGGTGGGTACTTTGTGAGAGGTGATTGATGGGGAGATTTGGGAGTAATTAGAAACGTGTTAGGCATTGATTAGGATTCTTTCTGGAGGGAAGCAAATAGTGATTTGAAGCACATGGGTTTTCAAGATTTAACCTTTCCAATCTTCAATGAATGCCAACTACTTACCGCTGATTTAGATTGGAGCATCCGAGTTTGGTTTGGTACCACGAATTTTGTTCTCCAGACAATGAGGATGGCCACTGATTTGGACAGCCACAACAAGATACACATGTCTTATGTCTATGATCGCTTCAAAACTAGGTGGATCTCCAAATTCACAGGAACATGAATGATGCTGTAAAATGTTTTAACCCTGAGGCCAAAACTATGAAATTGAATTTTCCAGATTTTTTTTTTTGGCTCAATTCAATATAAATATAAGATGGTTAGGTCGAACTCGGTTAGTCGGACCAATTCAGATTATTATTTCTCTCTAGTTGTGATATTTATTTACAAGTTATTTTTAACTAATTTATAAAAAATAAAAAAAAGTTAGTTCAAATAAATTCGTTGTTTTAAAATTAATCCCATCTTCTAATAAATTCCTTAAACTAAATGCAGAATTTTTTTATCATCTTTTTAACACAATTACTTAACAATATCCATATCAAGAGCACTAATTTATAGATTTTACAAAATGAATTATGAACAAGAACATAAAAAGCTTTCAGAACGTGACTTGTAATGGAAACAAAATAATATACAACAAAAATGATAAGAAATCGCGTTAGTCGGAAGTCATAAGGTGAAACTCAATTTAGACAGACTCAACATAAATGGCGAACAAATTAGGAAGTCAATAATAAAAAAAGAAAAGGGAATCCATGCAGAAAAGGACAAAGGGGGAACAAAGACCAAACAATGCGTCAACTTGTGGATTCATATCAGAAACCCGGCCGCTGCTCCCGGATGAAGCACATCATCCCCTTTGCTTCTTTCTCATTTCTCGGACCCTATCATCAAACAATTCAATGCATCTTTTTTTTATTAAGTTTTTTAAAAAATAAATTGTAACATCTTAGACTTCTAAATTGAATGTGCTAGTTAGAGTTAGAGATCCCCTCAAGACAAAAAAAAAAAAAAAGTGCTACTTGGAGCAGTCTATGAAAATTAAATGCTTGCTTCGGTTCTTTTTTCAAAAAAAAAAAAATCATTAACTTTTTGTGCTGGACTTAGGCTGGTAGGAAGTGCAAGAGGCTGACCAATGAAGGCCCAAATTATTTAGTGCCAAAGTAATAACCCGACTTGACTTTATTGCTGGGTCAACATTGTTGACGCTTGGCCCAGGAAGCCCCAGACTAGTCAGGCAAAGTGACCTTTTTTATTTGGGGGTATATTATTATGGTACTATTAGGAAATACAGCGTGATATGTATTTTTGTTTTAAAAAAGAAAAGTCTCACTAAAAGATCGCTGGAGCAATTTATTTGCGAAAAAAGACCAAATTTTGAATTAGCTTTACAAGTCCGAAAGATCTAAATGAAATTAAATCTATTTGCAAAAAGACCTAACTATCCCTAATCTCTAGAAACGTTAACCTTATTGCGGATTTTTTTTTTATAATAAGCATTAGGGATGGTCATGTCTTTTCACAAACAAATTTAATTTTATTTAAGTCCTCCAGACTTACAGAACTAATCTAGAATGTTCTAGTCCTTTTTTAAAAGATAACCTGTTGTGGCGATCCTTCAATGCAAATTTTCTTTTTTTAAAAAACCTTTTTTTTTTAGGAACCTTAAAAAAACTAAGAACGAGTCAAATGGGAGATTAGCTTGGTCTTACTTTCGTAGAGCAGTGCGTCCCAATTATTAATGATGACACGCAAAGGCCAATAGTATGTTACTATATTGTATCATGCTTCACTGGGGGACCCTACCAGGAAACGGAGTGGGAGTAGGGGTGGCTTGCGTTGTTTTGTGGGGATGCCTTACATTGCATACCCCATCATTATCATTATAATAAGAAACACCAAAATTTAGGAGATCTCAGTGACAGTTTTTAGATTCTGGTTAGATCCAGTGTCCCAAAGTACATTTCCCATAGGGCAATATGTTGCCGGGTAACTTCAGCTTCTTCTTGAAATTGAAACCTAACCCTAGTATTTACCTCCACCTTGTCCATCATCTCATCCCAAAAGTAAAGTAAGTTTGGACAGTTTTCGAAGGAATCAAAAGATAATGTGTGATAAACCAATTCAATTATCAGTATACTTATTAACATACAATGAGCGAATGCTTTTAACTTCTATTTAATAATTTTTAGTAAACTGCTACTGTACCTTTCCCTTCGGCAAGTGAGAAGATATACCAAGGATGAAGCCCGGCAGATGCAACCTCTGGTTCCCCATAAGTGAGAGGGAGAGAAGAAAGTGTATTCAAACATCAAATTTAATGCAGTGGACCCCAGTTCTATCTGAACTTTAAATGATTCACAAATTTGCAGGCTAAGTAATGAGAGTGAGAGAGACGTGAGAATAATAGTAAAATCTCTTGAACAAGAAATAATAATAAATTCCATTGATCTTTCTGCTCTCAACACACTTCAGTTCATTCACTTGCCATATCATATCAGTTCTGGATTTAATAAAACGTGCACGCAATTTCACCCTCAATCATGCAGCACAATATGCTGCACTGGTAACCACTATTTCTAATCCCAACAGCTGTTCCATTTACTCACTCGAACAAGAAAAAGGCAACAGAAAATATAACCTTCTAATCATAGTCCAATCAAAATTTAAATAGATGACGTGCATAACGAGATTTACAGCAGTAATGGAGCCAGCCATAGGTAACTTGTAATTGTGAAGGTGATTTCTTTTATAAAATCTCAAGTGTTACAATAAATGCAGGAAATAAGGCAGATTTGTTACATTCTACCTTATCTCCCTGCCTGCATGGTTGAAGCAAAACTAATGTACAAGAGCATTTTTGGGGCTCTCCAAAACTTCCGCTAAAATTTTCATATATATATATATATAAATAAATCTTGATTATCATTGCAGAAGCCGCTTCCTTCTTGGGCTTTTTTCAATCTGCTTTTTGCACAGTGGTCTTAAACAAGAGGACATATAACTTTTGATCCATGGAGAAATACAGAAACCCTCCAACTGAATGAGTCACAAAGGACCCGAAACTCGTCCCCACAATACAGTGCCAAGCCGGACCATATGCCCCATCAAACTCCTGCAAAATTTCCAACCAGCCAGCCAACCAAATCCTTTGACCAATCATTCACACAGACACATTTTGAAATAGCACCAAGAAATCTAACAAAAACCCAATTTTTCTTAATTGAATACTTGAAACTGATTAAATGGTTATGATTCCTAACCTTCTTGAGGGCAAGTGCCAGGGTCTTGGATGTGAACTTCTCCATGCTATCAAACGTCTTTCTGGCACAATCCACGGCATGGATCTGCATAAACGGCGGCATATCAGCAGAAACCACTTTGACCCCATTAACAGCAAAGACATCTCCTAAATCGACCTGCGAGCCACAGAAGGATCTTCTTCTACCACGACTTATAGCCAGTGAAACAGAGGGCCTCTTAACTTCATCTCCAAATGGACCCCTACCATTAAGCCCTGCACAACAATCATCCACCTTATCATTCTTCACCAGACCCTGCACCTCCCTCCTTTCCAATTCATGAGTAGATTTCTGGGGTTTCTCCTTGGACGTTTTCTTAGACGGCTTACACTCTTTTGGGAGCTTTGGAGCGCGTTTAGCGTGATATGTCTTGGAGGAACGGAGAATGGCGGAGGAAGTCAAGGACTTGACCTGCAAATGGGAGTCTAAATAAGAAGGGAGAGGCTGAGGATGATGGGGACGGTTGTGATTCAAGTTGAGGGAAGAGAAGTGGTGAAGCAAGGAAGAGGGTTTGGAGGGAAGGGTGAGATCTGGTTTAGGGGAAGGGCAGTAGTGAGAAGGGGCAGAAGTAAAGGAGGTGGTGGGTGTGGAATCCATGGAGGAGGACGGTGGAGCTGCTAGGTTGCGCCGGTGGTGGATGGGGCGGTGCGCCATGGAGGAATTGAAGGAGGAGGTGAAGGGCAGGAAGGAAGAGGTGGGGTTTGTAGGGTAGTGTGAAGGAGAGATGATACTAATAAAGGATGGTAACATATCCGAGTGCCGAGTTCATAATTTAGGAATATTAATTATGAAGAAAAATGAGTGACGAGGTGGGGAGGAGGGCGTGGTGGCCTTGGTCAACGACTCGATGAGGAGATCTTGGCAGTTCACAACCGTTGGATACACTTTTTTATTTTTATTTTTTCAATACAACGTCACAAAAAATCATGTAAAAAAAATAAAAATCTAATCATACCTAAAATCATGACGTTCTTACTGTTGAATACACTTGCACGGCAATGCAATGTCTCGAAATTGCTCAGTTTCTTACCACGTTCGCATGTAAATTTTATTTTTTTCTGATAATCTTTTTTAGCCTCTTCATTTTTTTAAACATATTAAATTATATACACACATAGACAGATATACACGCGCACATTTTTGTTACAGTAAACAATGGGATCGCGCTTCTATGATATTTTTCTTATTAAATCGTAAAAGCATAAAATTTCAATTTTTTTTTTGACTAGCTTAAACCTGTTTAATGGCAACTGAAAAATAATGGTTTTTCTTTTTTGGTAAACCAATAATTTTATTAACTTGCAATCATGTACTCCCTCTAATTTTATTTATAAAATACATTTTAAAAGTCTATTTAATTTCATTTATAAGTAATGATATGGCTTTTTTGATAATATTTAAAAATTATTTTTAATGTTATCCTTCATGAAAAAAATAACATGAGATTACTTTTTAAATTTATTATATAAGAGTATATTTATAATTCTATACAATTTTTTCCTTGTACTAAAAGGACAAAAATAGTAATATATACTCTCTCCGTTCAAAAATGTAAGATGTTTTTTAAAAAGTTTGATATTAAAAAGTGAAAGGCATTTTTTATTTTTTGAGGTATAATTATTATTTTTTTTAAAGTATTCCTATTAATAAATAACTTTATATTTATTGTAAGGTGTTTAATAGGAATAAATATAAAAATAAAATGTTAGTTTAAAAATAAGTAACTACTTTATTGAGGTGAAATTCAATTAAAAATATAAAATATTTTTTTAATAAAAAGAGTATGTATATATGTATGTATGTATAAAATTGGCCCCTCAGTTGTTCAAAAAACTGTAAAGTATGGAGTATGTCACTATGACAAGGACTGTACCTGGGTCCTGGGATTCTCAACTTGCCCATCCTACGCAGCCCTTCCAACTAGGAGAAGTTGAACAATAATCAAACCAATAAATAAATAATAAATTAGTTTCCAAGAGATTCGAATCATCCCACTTTTCAAAGAAATTGATGTTGTTCAGCTGCAAGATTCGCTAGACTTATGGATCCATACAAATGTTGTATCTCTCCTTTACACAATTGACTGCGTCAATCTTGTAATAAAAAGAAGAGATTCAAATCCTTTGTCTCTGAAATTGACACAGGTATCTGTGTCTCAGCATTGCTCAATTCTGAAAAATTAGATACCACAATCAGGATTCTGCTTGAAGAATGCTTTTCAGTTCCAGGGACTAGGGTGGCGAGCATCTCTGAAAATAGAAGTACCACCAGACGCAGCCGGGGAAGGCGATGATGCAATGTAACCTGTGCCTGACAGAGATACTGAAGGCGGATTCATAGGATTGCCCTGATGTGAAAGAGCAAAGCGTGATGGACTTCCAGTTACCCCGAGACTTGCCCTGGAAGGCTGTGAAACCTTCAAATCAAATGGAGCAACAAAGCATCAATATTTCATCATACAATCCATCAATAGGAAATCCAAGGGAAAATCTATTTATTGTAAAGAAATGGGACGTGTCCTGTACAGCATCTTAAGTGGCATTTATAGGTTTGGCCAGCCCCATCACTCGCCTTCCAGCTTCACATTCATTCATCCGTTGAACATGTTATGATCTAGTCTAGTGCAATCTATATCGTGCCAGGCAATACATATTTATATATATATACTACATATATATATATATAGGAAGACAGTTTAAATATAAAATAGCCCGCAGCAAGTTGACTGCATAAATCATGGTCAGAAATTCAGTTCAGTCCAACGCTAGACTTCTGCCATTTTCAAATGAAATTCACCAGTTTAACAGCCCTGTCAGAACTCAAATGAACCTAAAACAAATGGGCTTGGGTCCTCAGAAACCATTAATGTTCTGTCAGTTTTTGCAGTTCAGCATGTAATAATAACGTGAGCTCTATTAAATAGTTAGATCTACCAAAGATGAACCTTCTGCAGGCAGCAGCCATTTCAGATGCTCATACATTCATGTCAGACACCAAATCTAAAATCAACTTCCACAAACAAAGCTTGAAAAATCATTGATGTGATACTGCTTCTCGCAGTGAGCAACATTACCATGTTTTGTTGAACACAAGGCGTCCTCCTAAGAGGGGATTCCGAAGGTGACATGCTACTCATCCAATGCACATTACGAGAGAGCATGTTATGGTTCGAAAGATCATCATTCTCACTCCCTTCCACATCACAACCAAGATTTGCTTCTGAACCCACTCTTGGAATTATATGCCTAGTCAGTGAACCAGTACCATTTGTCCCATCTGCTTGAAATGGAACAGAAGAGCGCAAGGCAATATCTTGCACACTAGTTCGTCTTTTTAATTCCTCCTCCACATTTAAGATCTGTCATCCGTAACAGCACAAAATCGATAATCTTAACACCAAGCACGGCCACAGATCAAGAACTTGAACATCTCAAATTCTAAATGAATTGTGAACATGAAAAAAGAGATGAACCAGTGGTTACCTGCTTCAACGCTAAAACAAGATTATGTTTCTTTGCATTCAAAACTTGTAACTTGTCCTCCACTTCTTTTTTCCTTTTCTCTTTGCCATTTAACATATCTTCTCTGTCTCCGATCTGGCATCAACTCCAATGGTAAGCGCATTCGATAAAATACATATCGCTAAGGCACTTGAATTAAGCACTAAAAACCCACAATTAATCCATAAATCAATTTCAATAATTCCATAATTAAAAGATTCCCGAAATCCATTCCCAAGCAAACCTATTATGGCAGCTAAAACCAAAAGAACTATTAATCAAGTGTGAAGCTAAAGAAGGAAACGGAACTGATAGAGTACGTTTTCTTACCGTCTCTGTCTGCTTTGTTACTAAAGAGGCATAACCGTCGAAAGGTTTAGACGCTTTCTCTATCGCATCAGTCTTGGAATCAGTTAACGAATTAGAGCCATCAACTGTTTTCCGGATGGAACCATTACAGAGTTCCGGTTCCCTGTGATCTTCGCCCTCCCGCGAATGACCTTCTCCATTATCACTGACCTTCTCTGATTCGGGTTGAATCGCAACAGACCGCTTATCAATTACAGGGACCTCATTTTGACCGCCAGATAGAGAGACAAGGTTAGGGATCGAGAGGGTGGTGGACGTGGTGGTGACCGCCCCGTCAGCAAGGAGGCGGGAGAGAGCCCTGGTGCGACGCCCAAGAAGCGATTTGAATTCTTTGAGAGAAATTTTCGGGGCTGGCATGAGCCATCGACGAGGCACGTCTGGTACTCTATGGAGATTCCCTCTGTAAAGTGAAATGGCCACCATCTTCACCGAGTTTTCTTCATCCCCAAACAACCCATAGTTGAACCTCTATATAGATTTCCATTGACAGTAAGAAAATCAACAAATGTTAAGTTTTTTTTTTTGGGAAAAAAATTCGTCTTTTGTCTGTTTGGAATTTTATCGAAACATTTACCATTGAGTTGGGGGGGGGGGGGTTGGTGAACGATGATAATGAATATATTATTAATTGTCATTTTTCCATTATATTATTAATATAAGTAAAAAGTAATTTAAATCACATAACAGTTCGTCCTGTTTACGAAGCATTACAGAAAAATATCTAGTCGACTCATAACAGCTCAGCTAAAAATATCTGTAGAAATAGAACTCAATTGGTAGTTGTAATCTCCATTTGATAGTTGAACCTTGGTGTAGAAATGGTTGTCAATTGAACTCACTCATCATCAATGGATGTACAGAAAATGGTGGTAAAACTTATGATCACCAAATGTTAATTGTCTTGAGAGAAAAAGGGGGAAAAAATGACAAGTTTGGAACACAAAATGCTCATTTATCCCAATTCTATCACCTTATTATTGTCCACTGGTTACGAAATCTAAAACATATGATCAAACAGAAGGGGACTCAGTAGTTGGACGGTTCCTCCATGAGGTGAGGAAAATTCAAGAACATCTCATTTTCTTGATCGAGCATGGCTTCTACGAAGGAAATCTCAGAGGATGACGATGAATTCCGAACGTCACTTCTGGGAACTTGCAGTGACGTCACCTCATTCTTATTCTCGTTCGTTGTTGAATTTTCGTTCTCTGGGTTATCAGCAGCAGGTGGGAAAACATCTTCAAGAAGAAAATCATTCCAGCAAAAGGGAAAAGGCCAGCCTTCCTGGGCAGCATTGGAACAACAAATAGAAGAAGAAGAAGAAGACGGTGAAGAAATTGACGAGAAGAAGCCTTCCCCAAATATAGCTGCTGGGATTATCTCCTTCTCCATCACGTGTGTGTTACTGAAAAAGCTACTTTCTGTTGATGGTTCCAGCTTTGGTGAGGTTGAAGGTAGCTTTGGAAACGAGTCTGATTTGAACGATACTGCGTTCTTGAAGTCTTTACTGAGAGACCCGATTCGGGTGCTTGGTTTCTTGATTCCCCCAATGTTTCCATAATCAGCTAGGAGTTTAGAGAAGGGCTTGTGAGTGATAGGGTCTATTCCCATGTCTGTGAGCTTCTTCTTCAGCTTTGTGTTCCAGTAATTCTTTACATCGTTGTCTGTTCTACCAGGAAGCTGCTGGGCAATCATAGACCACCTGCACCATAGATTAGAACCGTCACCATTCTTTCATACTAACATACAAAACATAAAAACTACCATGGTTATATCGGCCTATTGTACACAGCCACAGTTCTAAAAGGCGAATTTTTTACTGAAGTTGCAGCAGAGAATAACTGGGTTTTCTTCTAAGTTACATATTGCAAAAGGTAAAGTTCACTTTTATTATTTTTAGCCCAAAGGTACGTGTTTGATCATAACAAGTGTAAAAGTAAAAATTATCTAATTGCAGTTTACTACATTGATAGGACATACAAATAAAACATCAAAGAATAAGAGGGGAAGACCAAAAGAAGATGTCATTTT